AGACAAAACAAAAATTGGAATTCAGCCAACTCAAGAAGCAACAGGAATCTGTTTTCTTTCTCATACTGCTTTGGGCATTATTTGTAATGATTAACCATCAAAGCCATTCTGCTTAGAATCCATCCTCTGTGGCTTCCACTTAGTGCCCAAATGGGATGCCCTGGAGCATCACTGATTGTCGGGGTCTCAAGCCTGAGGCTGGCTGACAAGCAGGGGCCAGTACAGACACTCCCCAACAAGGCAAACGGGAAGGGTAAGGTCGATGGGTGATGAACACACCACAAACACCCATGAGTTCTGTCGAAGCAGGAACTGCTTTATTGAAGAAGTGTGCAGGCTTATAAAGCTTACGAAGGACATGCGCAGTAGGGGAGCCAATCAGAGAAAAGGTCACACAGGGATGGGTGGACCACGCACAGGGGCACCGTAAGCAAAGTATAGGGATCACGCACTGTCCACGTGTCCAGAACTAAAGCAGACCTATCCCTGCAGGTGGTCTGATCTCACATAGCTTAACCTCAGCAGCCGCAGACACGCCCCTCGAACATCTGCCAGGTGCCATATTGTCATGGAGATTTTAGGCAATGCCCAATAACTGATCTTGGCTGAGTGTCCTGTGTCGCTCCCCCTCTTCATGGAGGAACGACACTAAACCCTGCCTAGGCTTCATATCCAAGTCACGGCACCATTATGTCGCTCCCCCTCTTCGCGGAGGAACGACACAGGACCCTGCGCTGTTCTTTTGTCTGCTCGGCCATTCCCGGGTTAGCTGCTGGTTCTTCCCGGGTTGGCTACCAACCCTTCCACCTCCGTGGAAGGGCGGTTCCCCTTGCCACTTTCCCCACTTCCGCGGGGGAGCGGCACACCGCCGGCCAGCTCTCTCGGGGGCTGCTCAGATGTTCCTCAGGTGTTCCTTCAGATAGATGTTCCCGGTGCATGTTGTCTCTCTCCTCCTTTATAGTCTCTCCACCAATCCCAACTCTGCTACCCACACGCCGAGTACGCTGCTCTCCTCCAATCAGGAGCAGGTCCTGCTGTTTATTGGTTGAACTGGAGGCAGCTGTGTAGAAGCTGTTTCCTCCTCTCCCAGTGCCATATTGTGGGAGAGCAGATGCATAAAATAAGTCTTAATTCGAGTAACAGTCTAGTCCCAGTTGCTCCCCACAGTCCTGCACTCAACATCAGTGACTGGGCTTACAACTCTAAGTCAAAGAGATTCCTCATGTTCGGTCCAGGCCTGGATTTTAAGGAACTCAAGTTCCCCAGTCTTTTGTGCTTCTATGATTTTCATTGATTTATCAAAAACTATTATTTCAGTTAATAGTTTTCTTTCTCAAGTGGGTTCTATTCCCTTAGGAGACTAATAATAACTATAACTGTTCAGCATATACTATTTGTCACTATGTTTATAAGAACTTTATTTGAATTAAACTTGATTTTCCTCACAAGGATCATATGTTTCCTATTTCCTCCAAATTTATATAGGAGGAAGTGTGGTAAGGCACTTTAAGAAATTGCCGAAGTTCATATATCTAACAAGTGACAGAGCCAGAGTTCAAACCCAAAGTCTCCTGGGAAAACTTGTTCTGATAGCTGAATGCTGAGCTGCCTTAACACAGAGCTGGCTCTGTTTTGAAGAACATGTTCTGCCTGTGGCTTTCCATGTGTCTCTCTCACACTACTCACCCTGCAACCAAGATGTAATGCATTATTTCGGCCACAATATAGAATTATATATCGAATTCTTATTTTGGAGATTTTAAGTTTAATCAGACTATTAAAATGCATTTTTCACTTCAACCCCATTTTAAACTAAGCAGAAACTACCTAATATGTTTTAGCTATTGAAATAGTAGCTAACTTAGAGGAAAAGCCACACCACTGGTATCCAGTGCGTCTGTGCTAAGTGGAGCCATGTAGTAGTGAGCACTTTATGCTGAAATTATTGAGAGACCATTGAACAAGTATGTTAATTCTAAACAAAACGTAAAAGTCCTATAGTGAACACTGAGTATGGGAGAGAGTATTTCTGATGGCAATTATTGCCTCAACAGTGGCTTTAGGGTTAAGGAAACAAGAGAGTATAAACATGGGAAGGTAACATATGAAAGTACTGCATGAGGAGACAGATAGAAAAATAAATTATTGCTGGTGGTTTCTATCTAATCATAATTTGAGGACTATATGGATTTTTCTAAAATCAAGGGAGGCCAGCGCCGTGGCTCACTAGGCTAATCCTCCGCCTTGCGGCGCCGGCACACCGGGTTCTAGTCCCGGTCGGGGCGCTGGATTCTGTCCCGGTTGCCCCTCTTCCAGGCCAGCTCTCTGTTGTGGCCAGGGAGTGCAGTGGAGGATGGCCCAAGTACTTGGGCCCTGCACCCCATGGGAGACCAGGAGAAGCACCTGGCTCCTGGCTTCGGATCAGCATGGCGGCCATTGGAGGGTGAACCAATGGCAAAGGAAGACCTTTCTCTCTGTCTCTCTCTCTCTCACTGTCCACTCTGCCTGTCAAAAAATAAAAAAATAAAAATAAAGAAAGATAGATTTTTGTGAGTTGGATTAACCACATCCCCCCACATCTGACAGCAGTAATTATTTATTTCAGGTTGTAAACACAGGGCATAAAATCTTAGCATGCAATTTTGTTACAGTTACCAAGATTTTCTCTTGTTAACTGGGATGAGGTGCAGGTGGAAGTGCACTGGGATCCAGAGTGGCTGCATGACCCAGTTCATGGCCTTTATGGAGATCTCCGTTTTAAAAATAGCCTTCTGGGTGAGTGTTTAGCTAGCAGTTAAGATGCCCTGCTAGTATGTATCAGATTGCCTGGGTTCTACCCTCAGCTTCTGTTCCTGATTTGAGCTTCCTCCCATGTTATTGCATCATGTTACCACATGGGAGACTTTTGTAGAGTTCCCAAATCCTGGCTTCAGTCTTGGCTGAGTTTTGGCCATTTGTTGGCATTTGGGAAGTTGAGACCCTCCCACCCTGCTTTCGTGTGTGTATGTGTGTTTCTGTGTTATATACCTCTCAAATAAATGAATAAATAAGTCTAAAAATAATATAAATAGCTTTTAGCATGACCATGACGCTGCTTGGCTATGGAGTACCAAGGGCCTATGTGACACGAGCTGCCCTCTGTGACCTGATGTTGATAAACCTGCCCAATCTGAAGGTGAGGAGGCCCAGAAGCAGTCCACATTACAAAGAAAACATTCAGGATCAATAATTAAGACAGTACAAAACAGGTGGCATGGGTGCCCTTCTAAGATCTCCTTAATAGCCTAACATGTCTCTCCTATCCAATGCATAGATCTTTATGATGCATTCCCCTTGAACCACTAAGAGAGAAAGACACACACCAAGCACAATTTGCAGGTTAGCTAGCAAGATGTGTCTGTACTAGCCAGAAGTGGGCTTCGCCTCATTGAGCTTCACTTGCAGATGTCCCTGAGGGCAGTGATAAAGGAAGTTGGACTCTGGCTCTGCTCTGGGGGTAACTGTGGCTTGTCTGCTGCTTCTACTGGCTACTACTTCTTTTTCTCTTTTTCTTTTTTTAAGATTTTATTCATTTATTTATTGATTGATTGAAAGGCAAAGCTACAGAGGGAGGGAGAGACAGAGAAAAGGTCTTGCATTTGCTGGTTCACTCCCCAAATGGCCCCAACAGCCAGAGTTGTGCCAATCCAAAGCCCCAGGAGTTTCTTCTGGGTCTCCCACATGGATACAGTGGCCCAAGTACTTGAGCCATCTTGCATTACTTTCCCAGGCCAAAAGCAGAGTAGCTACTACTTCTTCAGCTATTTTACCATTCCTTGCAATGGCTAGTGCTTAGTATAAATCACATGGACACTGTGACTATGTCACATTTTGTGTACCATTACTGCAAAACATATGTATGTATGCAAATGAAGTCTGGTTCAATAAAGTGCTAAAAGTTAACAAAAAAATCAGAAAGGCAAAAAAGGCAGCCTAGACAGTGGGGGTAAGAAGATGAGAATTAACTTCAGTGGAATAGATAGTACATATATAGGGGAGGTGTATGTGTTGGTGTGTATGTGTCTTAAACAGTTTGTCTTTAGTCATAAATAACCGAGTTCCCTCTTCATCTCTGTGCCCCACGTCCCACTGTGGCATCAGGAGCCTCAAGGAGAGGGCACCCCAAGCATGGCCTCCCCCACTGGCCATTCACTTGTCATGAGTCTATGTAACAACGGCCCACTGATGGCAATTATTTAACAGTATTTTCAGTAGGAAAGAGGTCACAAGAGATGTTCAGGAAAATGAATTTTCACAGTCATGAGTTTGGGAAATACAATATAATGTGTCTCCTCTTTTGAAAATTCATTAAGCACATTTACATATTAAAAGCTTTAAAAGAGTAGAAAGAAATAAAAAGACACTTTTATCTTTATTTAATTCAGTAATTACCAAACTTATGAGCTTTCATAACTCCATTTTATCTTTGTTTTAAAAACTACCCCCTCCTTCTCTTGCAAATGTTTCATTCCCTTCTGATCATTCAAGAAGAAAGAAGTGATCATAATAACTTTGAAGTATCCATGATGGTATATTTGTAGTCATAGAATTGTAGAGTTCAAAAGGACCTTGGAGAATATCTAATCCACTAAATCTCAAACAATTTATCACCAAAACCATTTTACTTTCAGTTCTCCCCATATATACAAGTTTTGAAAAATGTATTCTATCAAGTACTTAGTGAATGATAACGGTTTTCCCCTTTTTTTTCCAGCAAAGGATTCTACAGCTGAATTTTTTAAATATTTGGTTAACGTTGAGTTGTGTGTTGATTTTGATAGCTGAATGATATTTTCAGCAAAAAAAATTCAAAGGACCTTGACATTTTAGTTGGCAACCTTTTAAAGTTTGTTTTAATGATTTCTTATTTCCAGAACTCCTAAGGTTGGGAAATTCTCATTTGTCCACCCCCAAATACTTCCTGGTCACCTACCTTGGTTTCCAAAAGTTGAACACCTTACCTTAGACCCACTGCTATTTAGTAGAATTCAGAACTCCTAATTCCCTGACCAATAAATCTTTCTATTGCTTCTGTTTTTCATAGCAGGGGCTGGCAAACATTTTCTGTAAATAGCAGATAGTAAATAATTTAGTACCTGAGAGTCTTATACTATCTGTTAAAACTATTAATCTTTGCTAGTATAATGCAAAAGCAACAATAGACAATGTATAAACATATGGATATGACTGTGTTGCAGTTAAATGTCATTGACAAAAAAAACGGGCATCAGCTGTATTCACACTATGAGCTTTAATTTTAAATCCCTACCATGGAACACTTCACAGTACAGTTGCTTGAGTGTAAGAATTGCCTGTCTTTGAGACAAAATAGAAATCCCATTGTCTTGTTGCAGATTTTTCTCTCCACCAAATTTTTATAGCTATTTTATGTTAACAATCCTTATGCAAGAACAACAGTGTTCTAATCAATTGGGTTCATGTCCCATGACCCTGAAAAATGAGGAGCACTGACAAAGAAGAATTTGTTGAGAAAAGCAGATAAAGCTCCCAGCAGCCAGGAGGGGTCCCTGAAAGAGGAACCCATTGAGGGCTGATTGTCTAGGGATTTTTATAGGCTACAAAGGGGAAGTCCTCATGATTGGTCTGGGAGAACCATCAAGAAGTGACAGTTTTGATTGGTGAATTGGGTGAGAGGTAAGTCTTCAATCACAGACATAGCCAGATGTTGCCCCAGGGTTACTTTGGTGGCTTCGGAGAGTAAGAGGGTGATAGCTGCCACCATTCTGAGGCATGTGGCCTCCCTATGGCCACCAGGTCCAGTTCCTTGCTGAGACACCCTTCAGACTGTTGCAGTAATCCCTTAATCTGGGTTAGTTACCACTGAAGTCAAGTCATCCCTTTTCTTTTTGCTACATATTAAGGACTCTGCTCATGGGGAGGCTTAAGCCAGGGCCTGTAGTAAGCCCTGTTTAAGTTGGATAAAGGCCTGTTGGGCCTCTGGGTTCCTTATTGACTTATGGGTCCCTGCCCTTTGCTATCCTTGATCAGTCAGTACAATGGATCTATAGTGAGCAGAATCCTATGACTCCCAGGAAACTTGAAAGCTGTTTAAGGATTTGGGAAGTGGAAAAGTGACTGTGGGTTTGATAAGGTTAAGCCTAGGTACTTTATGGAAGGCTGGCAGAGTTGGGTTTTAGATTTTGAGACTTCATAGCCTCTTTTTGCCAGAAAGTTGTGATGTGCCTTGCTACACCCTTGGGAACTCTCCTCAATTTTACACAGAAGAGGATGCCATCTATGTACTTTAGGACAGTAGTCTGTGGTTGGAAAAGCTCCAACAGGTCTTTTGACAAACCCTGTCTAAACAAATGCGGGCTGTTTTGAAATCGTTATGGCAACAAAGTCCAAGTTATGAGAGTGGACTTGAGTTGAGGGGTCCTCAAAAGCCAATATTGAGAGTCAGAGTGTAAGGATTTAAAGAAAGGGCCCTGTTTAAGTTTAAAACTGTAAGCCATTTAGTCCTTTCAAGAATTTGGGATAGCAAAGCATTAGGCTTAGGCATCACCAAGAGAATGAGGATCAAGACCTCTGTTCTCTGTTTGGGTTTGGATACCCAGAATTAGGGACTTATGCATGGTTTTAAGTGTCTCTGTGACTTTAAATTATCTATTATCATATCCAACCCTTGTCAGGTCTCCAACTTTAAGGGATATTGTTTTTAATGTGAGAAAAAGGAGAGATCCATAAGATGAATCCATGCAAGTTGAGTAGTTAAGACACGTCAGTATTTCTCTGGGTTTCCCAAGTCTGTGGATTAATATCTGTCTCAATTAGAGGTAGGCACAAGAGTTGCTGTGGGGCCATGAGAATGGTCATTCCGATCTGGTCTATGACATCTCTTCCTAGATTATGTGTAGGGCTTTCCAGCAAAATCAGGAAAGCATGTTTTTTTTTTTAAGTTAGCCAAGTTACTTCTTAGGGACTGAGTAAACTTTCTAAAGCTTCCCTAAGACACATTTCATGGCCATACTATGGGAAGAGGGGAAACCCAGAATTGAAAGAATGACAGAAAAGTGGCTCCAGTATCTAAGAGGAAGTCAACTCCCTTCCCTTTTATAGTTAAGGCCACCCATACCTCCTGAGGACTGATGGTGTTGGGGTAGGAGACCATGAGAGAAGCTCTGGGTCCCATTCATCCTGTTGGGTCATCCAAGTAAGGAGACTCAAATCCAAGAGGCCTTGGTCTCCACAGGCAGCCAACCCTCCAATGATCTGCATTGAAAATAGGATAGAGCCATGGGGGGTTTCTCTGGTGACAGGAATATGGACATTCTTTCTTGAAGTGCCCTGCCTGACTATAGCCATAGCACTCTGGGAAACCCTGGGGATGGCCATGAGGCTGCTCCTAGACTCCTAGAGTTGCAGCCTTTTTCTTATCCCTTCTCTGTCATTGTTGGATTTCCTCCAGGTTACAATTGTAGAAGCTTGAAGTGACATTCAGGAGGTTTTCTAATATACTCTCAGGTCCAATAGCTGGGTTTTAAAAAAATTTTTTTTTAATTTATTTGACAGGTAGAGTTATAGACAGTGAGAGAGAGACAGAGAGAAAGGTCTTCCCTTGTAAGTTCACTCCCCAAATGGCCGCCACGGCCAGTGATGCACCAATCCAAAGCCAGGAGCTAGGTGCCTCTTCCTGGTTTCCCACGCGGGTACAGGGCCCAAGCACTTGGGCCATCCTCCACTGCCTTCCTGGGCCACAGCAGAGAGCTGGACTGGAAGAGGAGCAACCAGGACTAGAACCCAGTGCCCATATGGGATGTCAGTGCCGCAGGCAGAGGATTAGCCTAGTGAGCCACGGTGCCAGCCCCCTAATAGCTGGTTTTTGAAACTCTCTTCTAATATCTGAAGATGATTTAGTAGTAAATTTATCATGTAAGATTGTTTATCCCTCCGTGGAGTTGGGAAGTAAGGAGGTATGGTTGACCAAAGCCTTGCTCAGTCTTTCTAGAAGGGCTGAGGGATTATCTTCAGGGCATTAGTCCATCATAGATAGCTTGGAGTAATTTAAACTTAGTCCTGGGAATCCTCAAGTCCCTAGGACACTAGCAATGAAGTGTTTGCATTTCCATTCATCCACAGAATCATCTGGTGCGCATTGAATGTGAGGACATTCCTGAGGAGCAGCCTGTTTTCCTATAGACTAAAATGGCCCCTGGTCTCCCTGATCAGATGCAGATATAAATGCCATGTAAAGTTTATCCCCCAAGGTCTCTGTTGCTTTAGGAGTAGCCTTTTGTTCAGCCTCAGTTAGGGTCTGTTTTAAAAGTAGTGTTACATCTTTCCAGGTGAGTTCATAGACTTGAGTCAAATTCTGGGAACTTTTATGTGTTTATCAGTATCATCTGAAAATCTACCCAAGTTCCTCTCTATCTGGCTAAGATTCTGCAGAGAGGAGGAGACCTGCACATGAGTGAGGTCACTGAACCCTATGGGAATCTCCTGGAAGGGTAACATAGAAGCTGGTGGTCAGAAGTCTTGCTTGATTGCAGGTAGTCCCAGATAAGGGGGCCTGAGGGAACAGGAGTGATAGAGTGATCAGTACAGACTCTGTGCCAGGCCCTGTGGCTGGTAGGGAGGGACAACAAGGACCTTGAGGATTACTGCTGCAAAAAGCACCAGGTCTTCCTTACAGAATCGACAAAGTCTGACTTATCTTGAAGGGCAAAAAATCTCAGGCCATTTCCCTGCTCTGTGGCTGAAGAGGCCCAGTTGGAAGATGAAGTTATACTTAATACTTCCCTCTGGGGCCAAGTTTCTGCATCCTCCAGCTTGTATCCTGGCTGTGAAGTGGTACAGAAAAAGACCAAGGATTCTTTCTTCAGTGTTTGAGGGTCCAAAGTGTTGGAGGTCCCAAAGATGCACTCCAAGGGTGCATGCCTACAGCAGATGGCTTTTGCCCATTTGAAACAAGAGGACAAGAATGTCCCTTTGTTTTTTTTTGTGTGTGTGTTTTTTTTGTTGTTTTTTTTTGTGTGTGTTTTTTTTTGTTTGTTTGTTTGTTTGTTTTTGGACAGGCAAAGTTAGACAGTGAGAGAAACAGAGAGAAAGGTCTTCCTCCCGTTGGTTCCCCACTGAAATGGCCACTATGGCCAGTGCGCCACGCAGATCCAAAGCCAGGAGCCAGGTGTTTCCTCCTGGACTCCCATGCAGGGGCAGGGGCCCAAGCACTTGGGCCATCCTCCACTGCCCTCCCGGGCCACAGCAGAGAGCTGGACTGGAAGAGGAGCAGCCAGGACTAGAACCTGGCGCCCATATGGGATGCAGGCGCCACAGACGGAGGATTAGCCAAGTGAGATGGCCCTAATGTCCCTACATTTTTGCCTCTGCCCGTTCAAGTCCCTGAAGTTCCTGGGCTGTGGGAGCATAGTGCCCTGGATCCCTTAGCAGGAGGAGGTTGGGGAACAGGAGTAGATGCTCCTACGTGCAATTCTACTTCTTGCCTTGCTCCTCTAGGATCCTGGCCTCATATCCTAGATCTCTAAGTCTTACCCATATATGGCATAATGCTATGGGGGATGGGCCCACTCTGGAACCATTTGTCACTGACCCCAAGGCAAAAAGTCAGACCTTTATATAATTGCAGCCTAAATTTAACATCATTTTATAACCTTACAGTGCATTGTATAATCCATTTACTCTGAACATTTTGACCAAAGCTCTGGGCCAGATCTAATCAGAGTTACAATAATCACTTAAAAATAGATAATGCTAACCCTTTTAAAACTCAGTTCTCCCATACAATCAAGACTCAATAAAGACAACAGAAAACACATGAAACTTTCCCAGATGCATTAAATGCTAGCTACCTCGTTCATTTACAGCTCAGAAAAATATTGATTAAAACGACTGGCACAGGATGTCAACATATGATCCCCTTACTTAGGGCAGCCAGCTGCATCATGGGACAAAGAGATAGAGAATCAGATAATCCTTTTGTGCAAAGCTGAAGAAAAAAAATTGTCAACAAAATGTAAACTACACAGAAGGGAGGAAAAAGTCTTTCACGTTGCAAAGGGTTAATGAATTAAGGCCTTTCTTGCTAG